TGAGGTACGAGCGTACTACTACAACCTGAGGTACGAGTGTACTACTCAACCTGAGGTACGAGTTACTACTACAACCTGAGGTACGAGCGTACTACTACAACCTGAGGTACGAGCGTACTACTTCAACCTGAGGTACGAGTGTACTACTACAACCTGAGGTACGAGTGTACTACTACAACCTGAGGTACAAGCGTACTACTTCAACCTGAGGTACGAGCGTACTACTTCAACCTGAGGTACGAGTGTACTACTACAACCTGAGGTACGAGCGTACTACTACAACCTGAGGTACGAGCGTACTACTTCAACCTGAGGTACGAGCGTACTACTACAACCTGAGGTACGAGTGTACTACTACAACCTGAGGTACGAGCGTACTACTACAACCTGAGGTACGAGCATACTACTTCAACCTGAGTACGAGCGTACTACTACAACCTGAGGTACGAGCGTACTACTCAACCTGAGGTACAGCGTACTACTACAACCTGAGGTACGAGCGTACTACTACAACCTGAGGTACGAGTGTACTACTTCAACCTGAGGTACGAGTGTACTACTACAACCTGAGGTACGAGCGTACTACTACAACCTGAGGTACGAGCATACTACTTCAACCTGAGGTACGAGCGTACTACTACAACCTGAGGTACGAGCGTACTACTACAACCTGAGGTACCAGCATACTACTTCAACCTGAGGTACGAGCGTACTACTACAACCTGAGGTACCAGCATACTACTACAACCTGAGGTACACAGTACTACTTCAACCTGAGGTACGAGGTACTACTACAACCTGAGGTACGAGTGTACTACTACAACCTGAGGTACGAGTGTACTACTACAACCTGAGGTACCAGCATACTACTTCAACCTGAGGTACGAGTGTACTACTACAACCTGAGGTACGAGTGTACTACTTCAACCTGAGGTACGAGCGTACTACTACAACCTGAGGTACCAGCATACTACTTCAACCTGAGGTACGAGCGTACTACTACAACCTGAGGTACAGCTACTACTCAACTGAGGTACAGCATACTACTACAACCTGAGGTACGAAGCGTACTACTACAACCTGAGGTACGAGTGTACTACTACAACCTGAGGTACGACATACTACTTCAACCTGAGGTACGAGCGTACTACTACAACCTGAGGTACGAGCATACTACTTCAACCTGAGGTACGAGCTACTACTACAACCTGAGGTACAGCATACTACTACAACCTGAGGTACGAGTGTACTACTCAACCTGAGGTACGAGCATACTACTTCAACCTGAGGTACGAGAAGTACTACTACGAAACTGAGGTACAGCATACTACTTCAACTTGAGGTCGAGCTACTAACTCAACCTGAGGTACAGCATACTTCTAACAAACCGAAGGTACAGCATAACTACTATCAACCTGAGGTACAAGCGTTACTACTACAACCTGAGGTATTAATTAATGATGTAAGTATACTACTAACGTGGTAAACGAGCGTATGATTCATACTTGTTAAGACCAGAATTCTACTTACCGACCTGCTCGTGTAGTAATCAACTATTCAACCAGGTATAGCATACTATCTCCTACATCCACCTTGCAGCATCACGACATCATACTTCACTAAACACGTCTCACCACACCACTCGACAAGCTTTTGATAAGATTAATATCGTTTGTCCCGATCGAGAAATTAATCTTGAGTAACTGTTGTATGACAATGGAATATAGTTTTCCGCGAGTATCTATGCAAGCGGAACCATGGTGTTTTCCGCAGTACAGATTATATACCTTGTTAGGATCCCCAGAATTCTGACAACTTGGATTCGTCCATGTGGCTTTTGAGTTTGTTTGAGTTAATAGTCGGAAGCTATGCTGTTGGCATTGATCTTGATCGTATATTACTTGGTTCGACTCCATCTTGCACACTTTCCTCCGTTCAAATCACCACCATATTTTTACTATTTCCACCACCCTCTTCCACCACCACCCACCCCACCAATTCCCCCCCCCTTTCTTTGCCACCATCAACCAGATTAAACTATATATCGTTTTCGTGGTCGCCTTGGGAGTGCGGGAGAAATTTTAATCCTTGAGTAAGCTGCTTGTAGTGTAACCTCACTGAGAAGTATAAAGTGCCAGCAGTGAGTCTGAGTGCCACGGAGACCTGTTTGTTAAGTGCCGGCAGTAAATGAGTGTCATGAAGACCTGTGTTAAGTGCCAGCAGTGAATGTGAGTGCCACGGAGACGTGTGTATGAGAGCCAGCGGTTATGGTGGTTTTTGCAGTTTTGGTGTTGAGTTTTGCCGCTCTTGGAGCGGTTGCTGCTGTTGTGCTGGTTGTTTCTGTTGTTCTCGTAGTAATATTGCAGTTCTGAAGGTGGTTCTTGCTGCTCTAAAAGTGATTACTGCAGTTCTGCTGGTGGTTCTTGCAGTTCTGCTGGTGGTTCTTGCAGTTCTGCTGGTGGCTCTTGCAGTTCTGCTGGTGGTTCTTGCAGTTCTGCTGGTGGCTCTTGCAGTTCTGCTGGTGGCTCTTGCAGTTCTGCTGGTGGCTCTTGCAGTTCTGCTGGTGGCTCTTGCAGTTGGATGGTTCATAGTTCCTGGAAGGTGTTGATTTCTTGACACTGTTTATCCTGGGCAGTGGTGCTTCATTATGATCACTCGCTTTTGTAATCAAGTTATCTTCCTTAAGAGGCACCTAAGTTCCCTCGTCTTCAGACTTCTATAACACAATTGTCCTCAAAGATTTGTTAAGTTATACCATGAATTAAGGAAAGATCCTGGACTTCATATTACGAAACAGACAAAGCAAATGTGATAGTAATTATGGACAAGGTAGATTGTAATAGAAAAAATGAACTTATTAGAAGACGGAGGAACTTACGTGCCCCTTAACTCTTTAGATAGTCTCTTAAAAGTATATTTTCCTTCTCGCATTATGGATCCATCCTGTAGAACACATCCTGCAGGATCAGTCCTGCCGTCCCACATTAGCCATCTTGCAGGATTCATCCTGCTCCTCTCACAGTTTTTCTGCCATTCTTTATTTTCTAAACTGCTGCCATATTATAACATTGTGTTTATTTCTCACTATGTTTCTCTTCTCCCTCCCAGTCTCTCTCATCACCCCCTCCCTCCCCCTCCCTCCCCCTCCCTCCCCTCCCTCCCCTCTCTCTCCCCCTCCCTCCCCCTCCTCCCCCTCCCCCTCCCTTCCCCCCCTCCCCCTCCCTTCCCCCCATACACAATATATAAGGAGGTTTGTTACTCTACTGTCTAAACTCACGAACTTTATTTCTTATTATTACCCCGCATCATGTTCTTCATTATTATATCTCGCCTAAATTTTCACCTCTTTCTGTGTTTCGTATTTGTTTTCTTGTCTGCCTTTATTGCGGACATCTTGAGACAGTTTGCGCATCTTGAGTTTTATTAAGACGTAGCGTTAGCTATGTATAAAGTTAGTCCATCACTGAGTACTTAGCTAAAGATGACCTGTCTCTAAGGTGTGGCTGAGAAGAGTGAAAGAAGTGAGCTCTGGCCTAGTGTCCCCTCAAGGGAGGTTCCTTGACGCTGATGAGGGGCTCTTGATCTAGGAAATTGGACCTGTGCTCCAGTTCCCTGCATTGAGCCTGAATGCCTTCCAGCCTCCCTCCCCACAGGCGCTGTATAATCCTACGGATTTTGCGCTCCCCCTTGATTTTATAATAATCTGGCCTAGTGTGGCTGTCTGATGGTACTGTCATCATGCAGTGTTGTTGGTTGCCACACCAACAACACTGTCATCATGCAGTGTTGTTGGTTGCCACACCAACAACATTGTCATCATGCAGTGTTGTTGGTTGCCACGCCAACAACATTGTCATCATACAGTGTTGTTGGCTGCCACACCAACAACATTGTCATCATGCAGTGTTGTTGGTTGCCACACCAACAACATTGTCATCATGCAGTGTTGTTGGCTGCTACACCAACAACACTGTCATCATGCAGTGTTGTTGGTTGCCACGCCAACAACATTGTCATCATACAGTGTTGTTGGCTGCCACACCAACAACACTGTCATCATGCAGTGTTGTTGGCTGCCACACCAACAACACTGTCATCATACAGTGTTGTTGGCTGCCACACCAACAACACTGTCATCATACAGTGTTGTTGGCTGCCACACCAACAACACTGTCATCATACAGTGTTGTTGGTTGCCACGCCAACAACATTGTCATCATACAGTGTTGTTGGCTGCCACACCAACAACACTGTCATCATACAGTGTTGTTGGTTGCCACACCAACAACACTGACACGTTAGTGTCAGGTCTGAGAGGTTTCTCTTGCGGTTAACATAGATTCTCACGCAATATTGACCACATGAAGGTCATGTGTGAGTCTTGTTGCGTGCAACCTCGCTGCAACACTGACCTTCCACATAAACGCTGCAGATGATTTGTAATTTTTTCTGTGTATAAAAAAATATATTAATACATGAACTGTTGTAAATGTGTTGGATCAGTTTATGTATGATGCGTTGTGTTGTGTTTTAGGGAAGAAATGGTATAAAATAACGACAACCGTGAAAAAAAAGACACCTGGACAGTGTTAAAATATTTTATTGAAGACAAGTTTCTCCAATAATGAGTTAACTAAAAAAAAAAAAAACACGGTACGGGTGGGGACTGAACTCGCGGCAAGTGAGTCGCAAAGCTCCAGGCAAGTATGTAAATATACACACTGTTGGATGATTCTTCTTATAGCCAGCTGGCCCAGTGGCTTACGCACTGGCCTGGAGTTTTACGGCTCACTTGCCGCGAGTTCAGTCCCCACCCGTACCCTGGTTTGTTGACAATCGTGTCATTACGATTTTTTGTGAGTCATGGCTTGTTTAGTTGTACTCGGCCTGTGTTAGTTCTCTATCACTGAGGAAGTCATTCATGGCGAAGTGTTTCGTCGTTAAAATACACTACCACTACCCATGTGTTATATCTCTTGTAATGTATTGTGTTGTTACAGTTGTTCCTTAAGTCATACTGGAGTGTGACCTTGGGAGCCGTGGTGGTGCGGTGAGTCAGGTCAGGCCCAACACTGATCCTTGTAACTATTCCGTCCGTCACTCGGCACTTGGCAACTTGTGCTACCACTTCCCTGGCTTGTCATAAGTAACTCTGTAAAGTGAAAAGAACTGGTGTTGTTACATGTTGTTGTTGTTGTTGTTGTTGAACTTATACCGTTATATCTACTGGCACAACTTTTAAAAAGAAACAAAGTGACGCCTAGTTGTCAGTCTAATAGAAAAGTGAGAGAAAAGTGTGTTATCGTGGCCATAAGTTGGAAGGAATGTGCTGCTGGTGACGTGCACTCTTATCACTGGCCACCATCACTTCAACGCTCCTTTATATCAAAGACTCCAACATTAAAGACGAAAGTTTGCGTTAAAAATATAGAACTTTTATTGAACGTGTTGTATGTGTGTGGTGGGCAGAGTGTAGCTCATCTCCTGGGGAAGGTAGCCAGGATCATCATTCCTGGGAGTTGTGGTTAATCCAGTGATCGTCGCTGGTGTCATCAGTAACCATGGCTACAGCAGTGGTCAACGGTCAGGATGTGACGGAGATGGGCCGTGTCTCCTCCTTCAAG